AGAACGATGAACTGATATACACGGTTAATTATAAAATAAAGAAAAAGATTTGCAGAAAGTATTCAAATTAGTGTCAAATAATTTAAGAAGATTAATATTACTTTGTAAAATTGTTATACAAAATGCAAAGATGGGGTTCAATGATATACATAAACTAATTACGAATATATAGTTGACATGTGAAAAATTAAATGTCTGCGATATTTCTAAAAAATGTTCTTCTCTACTTGTCCTTAAAAATAAAATATTCAAAAAGTTGTAAAAATATTAAAACTACTAAAATCACCTCGTTCTAAAAAATTCTAACTTCCATTGTAACTGTACGAACTGTGGAATCTTAGGCACTTTTTAAGTGTCTAATTTCTATGCAAGCATGAAGAGCAGTTCAAGTAAAACGAGAGAACCGAGTAAGAAGATATATATGATTATAAGTGGCTAGAAAATGGATGGACAAGTCATACATACAATTAGCCGGATGCCGGTCGTTCTGGTCGACTGCGTTAATTCTGGTATGGAATCGCGTAGAATTCTGCGAATTCGTCGAATATTTATCACTTTTATGGTAATTGGCTTCGTATCCGCAATATTATTACGTATCTCAGATTTTAGATGCACAAAATTGTACACCATTAGTTAATTTAAGCTTAGTTCAATTTTAGATGTATTTTATATAAAATAATGATGTAGAAATTTATATTTCCAATTGATAATTTTCTTTCTATGATATTTTTATATAATTTCTTTTATAAATTATATATTTTTAAGATAATCATTGAAAAATGTACGATATTTTATGGTATTTAGTTCTTCGACTGGAATGCATGTCAATATCATCAAAATGGCGACTTAAGCGCCACCCTCGCAAATTTCTACCGGCTCGTTTCTGTGATTAGACAGTGTCCGGTTTCATGTTATATGAAGATAAATTGCCTACGACGTGTATCATGTGAGAACGAGAACAGTACGTGCAATAAGTTAATTATTAAGATGCAATTCAGGTTCTTCAATCGCAGTGTTCAAAAATGTCATAATTAAAAATATTTGTTTAAATAAAAAAATATCAATAAATGTTTTTTATATACATATCTCGTCTCTTTTCTATTTAATCATCTTTACCGATGTATTGATCGTAATTATTCTACCCGCATCGATTAGTGTCGCAATCTGTCGGCAACAGCTCGAAGCTACTTCCCCGCAAAGTCAGCGCGCGGTAATTCAAACTACGTTAATCGATAATCTTAAAAATTTACGAATGTAAAAATATATTTTTACCAGATTTTACACATACATATCTATTTAAAAATATCTTTTTATATCTGCATAATATAACAAAATATTTAAACCTATACATTTATGTAAAAAAAAGTAGATTTAAATTAGTTATTTTTAAAATGTAAGATACTTATTTTCTTTGAAAGATTTCATTAATGTAATAAACTTAAAATTTCAACGTGAATCAGGCTCTATTATTGGGTTGGCAACTAAGTGATTGCGGATTTTGTCAGTGCCACCTAATGACAAAATCCGCAATCACTTAGTTACCAAGCCAATAGTTCCAACACTGATGCGGACATTTGATATGTCAAGTACTCGCGCGAACTAAATATCTAAAAGGAGACGACGAGCAAACCATTCGCTGGTCACAACAAGAGTTAGCCAATTTGTATTTTTAAACTCCATGTAACTTCATCGCTGGCCTCAATTATTAGACTCGAGATTTTAACTTCTATAGGCACGCTCATTGTCACTACAACAGCAATTGCGCTTTAACTCTACGAGTTTTAGTCTGAATCAATCTCAACCATGTTATTATTCATAGTTACAAAGCAAACAAATTTGTAAAATAGGAAATTATCCTAACCTAAAAGTAATTAAAAAATACGAAATATTTCATCGTGATAAAGTATTACAAAATAAAAAATTACCTAAACTTATGTTTACGAGAACTTCCATTTAAAATTATATTTTATATTATAAAAAAAACTATTTGAAATTATACCTTGTATTCGAAAAGAATTATGCCAAATGCAAGCGTTAGATAACGTTCGCGTAAATCTTTCTTTATTGACGCTATCTGAAGGAAGAAAACGTACTTACTTACATTTCTCTATAAGCCGAGTGTCGAGTGTCGCTTCTTTCCGCGAATCTTTCTAATCATTAATTCCAACGTAAGTTCCAGATAGTTCTAGGCGACTTGCACGTGCGTGCACGGCTAATGTCAAGGAGAAACTGAAATCTAAAGAGCCTACATGAATTATTAGGACGCGCTATAGTCAGCGATGCAAGAACCTTCGAGATCATAATTACAACGTGTCTTTAGAGCAATGCACATCAATTTCTGTACAACAGACACAGCGAAATATTTACTCCGACCAAGGTTAATCGATAATACCACATATGTATTTTTATTTCCGTGTGATAAAAATCTTCTACCTTTAATAATTGTGAACTACGATTAATTTTTCATTTATTTATCAAAGGTCTATTTTCAATTAAAATAAAAATTCAAGTATTAGAAATATATTATTGAGAGAAAGGAAATGGTCTAAATAAAATAAGAAAATGGATAAAGAAGAAGAAGAAGGCACAGCTCTTTATAATGAGATAGAAAGTAAAATGATTTAGTAGAATGATTTAAAATATGAATATACAATGCTGGAACGTGAAGATCGACTAGAGGAGATCCGGAAGCGTCTCCTCGAGAGTTCAAAGACCTTTTGAACAGAAATAATTGCACTCTAAATGAGCGTCGGAAAGCAGTCCAAGACACGTTTATTGTGATTAATAGTGGACACTGGTTAAGCACTATACTGTATTTAGTGGTCATGTGAACAGAGTGGTTTACTGAAGTCAATATATAGAACGTCGAAAAAACTTACTATAATGATAAAATAATAGTAAAATAATATTCTTCGAAATGGGAAGGTATATAGAAAATCATTATATCTATTATAGTTGAAGGAAACATAGTTAATTTTATCAAATCAACGTCACTCGATTAAATCTAAATTTATCTTCAACAGTTTCATTGATATTCTCTTATGCAAGTATAATAAGTCGTAAAAGGTTTCCTTTATCCGATTATACGAGGCAAAGCGTGATTTTCATTCACCGTGAAATGGTCGAGTAAAAGAGTTAAATATCACAAGAGCGCCACATGAGAAAGGAAGATAACGCAAATCGATATCGGCAGTCGCTGCCGTAGAGTTGATCGTAATCAACTGTGTCTATACGATGTTAATAGCATCGTCATTCGTCCAAACAAACCGCATCTGGTGTTAAAGAAACGAGGAACATGTTACTCGATATCTAGAATTAAACTCAGCTTCGTGTCACTGAATTGAACAAAAGATGAAACAATTTAAAAGATCTGAATTTCTATCATTCATAACGTAATAAGAAAAGAATATTGGAAGATGAAGTTCTAGATCCTTTACCGTTATACAGTTGGCACCTATGAAACGTTTCTGCAAAGTTGAATTTGGCGGACCAATCATATCCATTAAATAAAACAATAGTAAGAAAACTAATTAGTTATTGAAGAAGAATACTAATTATGTAGAATCATTGTAATTAAAAGAAACTATGTGCGCTTACTGTTCTACATAAATGTCTGAAAAAAACAACATTTCATACATATGTATATACCAATCTAATAAAAGAGAAAATTAAAAGAGTTCATTGTAATATGTACTTAAATTTACATTCACACATGCAAAAACTGCTAGCATTAAGTAATTATTACAGTAATTATGCTAATCGCGTTAATTATAGCATCTTCGAAGTTATTTAAAAACTCAACACGCGATCGAGCAAGAGATACAGGGTTGTACTTGTGTGTCGCGAAGAATCGATCAAAGAGAAACATCGCCGGCAGACAGGCGTGCATTCCGGTTCTGTAATTGTGTGTATACGTTCGTATATGCACGCAAACGAACGTTGCGACGCGTTCCTTGCACGCAGAGCTCCGATCGGGAGACCGCCAACTATCAATTTCCGTTTTGAATTACCAAACGCCATAACGCATGCACGCGCCGCTCAAACGAATCTCCGGTCTTCTCTGGCATAACGAGCCTCCTACTAAGAAACGCATCGATGCACTTTCCTTTGCTAATAAGACGCCTCCTTCTTCCTTCTGTACAACACGTTTTTCGACCGACGATAAACCAGTTTCGCACGCTGCAACGAAAATTTTTACCGTTCGCCACCTCTTAGTATCCCCTTGAATTCTTAAAGCAGGTAGGTTGGATTATACTGAACTATAGTATTTTAATGTAATAATGATTGAACATAAACGTTGCAGAAGATTTTCAATTAAATTTTAAACTTTTAAAGCTTTTAAAGTTTGATTGATGTTAATTGATGGTCATAAACGAACCTGTTCTTAAAAGTTTGATAAGTTTAAGGTTATGTATAATTTTATACGTTCGCTATTTAAGGATATATCCGGAATACTTCAACTACTTTAATTTACATAAAAAAGGATATGTTTAGATGTTTCTGCTTTGTTTTTTTACAATAGCTTTTAAGGTTATCCTATAGATAAAATAAAAATATATATATACATAATTTTAATCATGGTGTGTTACTAGATACATATATTGAATTTTTACGAAATCAATGATAAAGTAATGAAGTATTTTTACGAAATAAAATTTTTAAGTGGTCAGTCGTGGAAACTACTATACACATGAGCTATGTTTGTGTCTGATTAATGAAAACAACACGTCATCGGTTGACTGTAATGATCAAATAAAAACACTATTCATTGCCAAAAAAACAATGTTTATTTTAACCAACCTAAATGAAATTAAAAATAAAACATATTCAAGTACTAATAGTTTCATACTATTATTTAAGGCATTTAATATACCGAATGAAAAATATAATTAAATTTTTATGCATTGAACTACGTTATCTTGATATTTTAAATAAAAGGTCGAAAATTAAAAAGAAGTTCGTTAGAAGGAGGAAATTGAGAATCACTGTGCATCCATGGCCTTACGTAATCATGCTGCACCCACTCGTTTTACTGTATAGTGGTCTGACCGTAATCTGTCAATTTACTTTTGACAGTATCCCTGCAACGGAAATCCGATGTAACGCACCTTGTGATTTGCATATTCGATATATTTTCAAATCATCAAATTCGATGCCGTTCATCAAGGTTATAGGGTTGGAAAATTGCATAACGATTTAGTTTTAACCGGAAACAAAACCGCGGCGCACTCTCGAATCTTTCCTGAAAACGTTCGCCGGAAATTGAGCCGATCGATTCACATTTGCACAATAATTACTGCGAATTATTATCTTAATGTATCAATTCAATGGATATATTTCATTATTACTTATAAAATAAACAAAAATTATATAAAAAAATATTTTATAATTTTTTCTAATAAATTTTCATTTACAGATATACAATGAAAGATATGTACATATTTGGTTAGGAATTTTTCCCTCCTTTGGTATTTTGTATACAAATATACGATTGATAATGTTACATGATCGATACTTCTAAAAATCTACAGACATTAATCTTTCTCTGTCAAGAATGAAAGCCAATAATATCGAAGAATGGGAGTTTCGCATCAGAAGAAGAACCACGAAGATATAATATAGTATTATCGAAGCCGAAGAAATAAGATCGATAGTAATGCAGCTATGTATATATGTATGTAAGTATGTATGTATGTACAAACATAGTAAACACTGTTGTTGAAGAACAACCTCGAATTTAATACCGTTGAATCTTTGGAATTTCTTAATTCCAAATAATTTAAATGCCTAGATATTAATTGATATACAATGAATGAATACAATTTTAAATATAGATTTTGAACTGCGAGTTTTTATCTTTCGTAGTGCAAAATAATACAAACTGCAAATTATTATTTTTCGTAGTGTAAAATAATACATAACCTTGAAACACGAGAAGAAGAGCCTCGTGTTTTTTAGCGAGTCTCAATTTTCACTGTCAGTTATGAATTCTGCGATGCTTCTCACAAAACGGAGGTTACTAATTTTATTGAAATGTACGTTCACACGGCACAGAGGCAACTATCATTATGTCATACTAACATATATATCATATATTCATTCACAGAAACAATATATATATAGATTTTCATTAAATTTTTGAAAATGATACCAGAATTAATTATTATATAATTATCTCAGTAGATTAAACTTGGTTAAGACTACTTTCGCTGTAAGGTGAAAGGAATAATCATCCGCCATTTCAATGAAAGTACCATCATGCAACTGAATATCTACTTAAACTATTCCTATTTCCAATATTTGCATTTTAATGTATCGAAAATTTAATTAGTATTAAATGTTAGAAATAGCATTAATTTAATTCTATAAGATTATTTCCAACCTAAAATTATAAGTAATTTGTTATAAGAGAATATATCTGATATACTTAGTCGATCTTCGTCTAACCTAAAAACCGGTATCTGTTCGATGTAACAAAGCGTAACAACGCATATTACTCCCGAGATAATCGATGATCGTTTGTAATGATGAATCATTTCTCAAATATGCGGTAGACTACGCAAAAATTTCTATCCTTCTTAAATCTCAACAATCGTACCGTGAGAACAAGTGCCGATCTCCAACGGTCGCGACAATTAATCCTTCCACTGTTTACTGGTAACCGAATCTCCCTAAAATATTTCTCACATGATATACTGATATTTCCTTCATAATTATTCTCAACATTTAACTATGATGTAATGAAATAATATTCAAATGGTCACAGAAAATAATATCGTGTATGACCGGCGAGAATATATTTTTATTTCTTATCCTAATCGGTATAAGTTTCACAGCGTGCTTTGAGAACAACGTCCTATAGATGTGTAAGTACACATATTCATGTGAAAATACGAAAATATGGTAATACATATTGCTTACCTTTAGCAGACAAAAGAAAATCGAAGGATTTGTTCTGAGAGATAGTCCTCTGAGCACGTCGTACGCGTACACGAGTCGGAAACGAAGTGGCGCGGAATCAACTCGCCTCGCGACAGCCGAGAACCTCTCCTCTCTGCTTCGGCCAATCACATCCCTCCTTTGTACATATCCCCTCCCCGCCTCCCGATCCTCTCCTAGGGACGGTCCGCGGTCCAGCCACGTTCCTTCGTTCCGTTGTTTCTACGAGGACTCCGGTTGCTACCTCGACTTTTTTCGTCCTAATTATTATCCTCCGCCACATTCTTGCGGAAACAAACGAAGAAGTCATTACATACAATCGAATATACGGCGAGTTTCAAGGTCTTAATTATCGAGCCCTAATAAAGCTCTTATAGTACATGGACTTACACGATATTCGAAGTTTACAAAAATTGTGGACCAGTAACTATAAGGCCACAGAATATATGATAATTTTATGGGAATATTTACAATAGTTACAAAAAGTATTTGTACACCGTTGTATTTATTATAGTATTTATTTACTAATCAATTAAGTCCAAATATATTAAGTTTCTTATCATTTGGTAGTACTTTCATGTAACGACTAAAAACTTGATACTATGAAAATGAAATGTGGGATCTAGTAAAAAAAATGCTTCATTGGAAAACAGGTATGTACAAATATCTTTCGTAGTTACTGTAGATGTAACTTTTGACAGGCGATTGAGAATGAGTATCTTGAGTACATATAAGAATTATTCTTTAGTGGTTAAAGATGATTTCGAGAGAATAACTGTCGGTGATTAATATCGATACCCGAATCGATGAGATCGGATGTGGCTCGAGCCAAATTCAGTTGGCTGGCCTTTGAGCAAAGCACTACGCGAAGAGTTGAATGTTTATGAGTGTTTGAAAGAAATATAAAGTATGTGTGAGAATGTTTTATGAGAAATGTTTTATGAAAATTGGTGGAACGATAGAACTTTAAACAACTATCGATGAGTATGTATTTTTCTAATTTTTTTTATTGATGAAACTCATCACATGAAATATTTCTTGTTGAATGAATATTAATCTTTTTAAACGTTACTCCTTGTTTATTCTTTTTTCATGATGTCAACGTAAAGCAAAATATTTGCAATATTATTCAATAGACGATGCAGTACAATGTGCACAATCGATAATCGATCTCGTTTAATTACACGATCGGCATATCGAAGTCAATGGCCTCGAAACAAAGAACCGACATAAAAGGAAGATAACTATTCGATTGTTATCCACCTCGAAAGATACAATAGAAATTTCTTTGATGCTTGTTTTAATTCTATTATAGTTCATTTCAAATAGTAAAAATAAGAAAAAAGTAAATATTGAAATAATTAACATTCGCAGAGTATGTTATTACAGATAAAGACTATTTTCCAATTTAATCATAATTTAATTCAGATCAGGGATCAATGAAAATTTATATCTGGGAATCAAAAGAGAAAAAGAGGTAAAGAATGATTAATCTCGAACCATTTATAAACCATAAGAGATTCAGCAAAGTAACGCAAGATCCTTCTACAGAGGACAAGGTCTGCTCTCGATCTTATGAATCATAGCGTTGCTAAAGCGTATTCAGACCGTTCTTTCACCGTTCGTGCAAAAACGAGCATTGAAGTTCAGTGATCTGAAAAATGATTTCGACCAACTTCCGTGGAATTTCGAAATGACCGAATTATAATCAGAAACACGTTTATGCATTATATCTATGTATGCTTTCTATGCTTATTTGATATTTTAATCAGACCCTTGTACAAGTGTAAATGTAACGGTCTATAAATAACGGATGCCATATTCTCACCTGAGCTTCTTCAGCCGATTATGACGTCGTGTTTGTCGTCCGTGACACAACACGCGTATAAAAACACGTAATCTACTTGTAACGTCTGCGTCCATTTAATTCTGCTATCTCCCTGCACTTTCTAAAACCATAAAAATGACGTCACCTGTTAACATCGTTCTCAATCCCCTTACCTAATCCTTCAAAGGATTATGATATATTCCTGTTTAAAAAGATCAGGTGTTTTTGAATGAAAGTTTAATATTTTTAAGACGATTAATTTCTTAATTTGAATTTTAAATTAAATTTTAATTACACGTTTACGATCACAGAATTTTTATTAATATATTTTGCATCATTATAATTGGGTTTTAACTTTATAGGATTGTTGTTTTTCTGTAGGTAAATACTCCAGAGTAATTTGTTCACTTGGAGTGCATTGGAATTGTTCCAAGATATTTATCCTTTTCATATTTTAAATTCGAAATTAGCCTAAATTACTGTCATTGAAATTACTGTCTGATTTTGATTCAGAGGAATATTCTTAATTTTTAGGTTTGTTTGCTGAACTTTTGGTATGCTTCGCTTGTGGACGGTCCGTTTCCGCGTTGTTCCTTGGATTCCCCAGAATATATAGATCATGAAGCGTTTCCGGAGAACGGTGGAACTCCGGGAGTGTCGCCTGGCCGTTACGAAATCAGCTGTGCGCCTGTCGGTGCTTGTTGTAGGTCGCGTTCAGGACTCCCCTCGGCCTCCCTTCTGCTCTGTTCCTCTCATTCCATCTAACAGGAGGGTTAGAGGAGAGGGGATATTAAAGGTCGCCTCAACGTGGAGATCAATACGAAACCTACATACCTACCTTCCCTATCGGACCAATGGGAATGCCCAAAATGATCCCTTTCGTATCTATTAATTATCTTTTTATGTTCAAGACAGTCAGTTTGATAAAATTGCCCAATTTGCTTACTTTCTTAAACCTAAACAAATAATTATTCTTCTATAGTCTTATCAATTAAATCCTTCCTCTCAAATTGGACAATTTATTATAATTATATGTGTCCGATACACAATTATATGCAGTACTTCATTAGATTATAGATATTTCTAATGCAGCAAGTAATGAGAAAACTTTTGATTTTTGATACAGGGAAATCATGGAAGAGGTATTTATTCAAATACATTTATTTCTTAAGTACTCAACACGATAATCAGGCTTTGGGAGATTTAGAGTGATATACAATCTACACAAACATCTTGTTTTTTTCTGATAAAGCTATACAAAGAATATTCCAGGATTTTTAATTTTTTTCTTTCAATTAATGAACACATTTCTTCCGGATTAACTCATCCTTTTGTTAAATCCTATTAGAAGGTTTAAACATCTAACAAGGTCAAATTTATAATAGAGTTCATATTGTTTAATTGGGAGTGTGTAATATACTCGAAAAGGTAACATTTGTTTTCATTTTCTATCTAAATTTTAATTGCAGTTAATATGTGTATCAATCATCTCTAGTATGGACTTCTTGAAGAATGGAATTGAGCAACAGTTGATGGTTATAATTAGACAATACATGTGTATGTGTTTTTTTTAAATAAGTTTCACTTCTTCGACTTCACTTTCCACCCAGTTCACGTCGTCAATGTCAGTTAGTGGTGGACAGCACGGAAACTTATTACCTGTAATCGATATGGCTGAAAATCGATCGGTTTCAAGGAACGATTATTGTGTTCGGGGAAGAGGTAAGCGTGTAATTATCAGCGACGCGACGATATGAACGAGGAAGTTACCGATTGAAATCGAGTCTCGAAACGAAGACAACTTTGCACACCGTTATTATTAAAAACATTCTAAAAATTCTGTCCCTCTATAACGTATTATCGTCATTAGAAGAATTACGTAACGCTTTGAGCTGGCCAGTCTGGTTGAGTTGACGAGAAAAGTTACGTCAATGGCCGGGGGGAAATTACTTTTCCTCGCTTGCCCGTTATTTTTATCCTAAGAACTGTTTCATGCCGTTTCCACCGTTATGGTTTAACGAGAACCAGACTCTTCCATTCAGTTCTCTAGCAAACAATCCTTTGCCTGTTTTGCAAACTTCAGAATGTCTAATTGTATATTATATATTAAATATCAGGTTCATACCTGCTGATTCTAAAAAAAATTGTCATGAAACAATCGAAAAACATGAAGTAGTTGATATTACAATAAAATATACTCAGTAGATTGATATGGTAACTGGAATGAATTATAAATATAACATCGCCTTGTTCATACGAAATCAGTATTCCTCTTCTCGTATTTATCTATTCACTACTCACCTTCGACAAGTGTCGCCACAATAATCGTAACATGATATTGTAAAAAAAATGCTTCGGAATTATCTTCATGGACTGTTAAAGTATTATATTATATAAAGACATTAATATATTATTACAATAAAAATTACGAAAATATTCTATTAATACTTAATCAAACTCTCTATCCACTTCTTTTTCTTCATAATGAAATGTTTAAGCGATAAAGTAAATAAATTACTGTTACGTCCTTATTACAGATTCAAGGATTTTCGAAGCAAGTAAAAAAGCAGCTATAAAGCTAACTTGGCTTTATAATAAAAAGTAATCAAAATAGAATAGATTAGATGAAGATATGGAACTAAAAATTATCAAAAGGAAAAAGCTGGAAGACTAGTATAAATAGAAGAACTTTAAGATAATTACTATTGACCTTAAATCGCAAACAGTGACCTTGAAAAAGAGACCTCCTTGAACCAAATACTATTTCTGTATTCTAGCACAATCGTCTTATTGCATTACACGAGTTATAACTGTAAATACTATACTACTAGTCTCAATTACATAATTACATTTAATATCCACATTAAATACATATTAAACCATTTTTCTTTTATCGTACATAGGAATTTGATACTCTGGTTTCGTTCCTCATATATTCAAGGATATAAATATAATACACATACATGTATTTGAAAGAACGAGGAATATAAAAAGACGTGTAATTCATTTTTAAAGGAAATCAGGTATATCGTAGGCTAAGCAATGAGAAAATTGTCATTTGAATCGCATACGTAAGAACGTCGCGCTGCTTTAAATACAATACCATTATAACGACATTAATTCGCCGATTTAACCGTCTCAAGAGGCAAGCGACTTTATCGCGTGACTGGCACCGAGCACGGCAAATATTTGTCGTCCAGTTTCTCCAGTCAGCGTCACACCTATCAGAAAGATGGCCGTTTTTTGCGAAGAGCAGCAAACGAAAAACAAAATTGTAAATCCTTCGTGATCCATGAATACGTAGTACGAAAATGGTGTTTTCGACCGTTGACTAAGGGCAGTTCTCAATGTCAATGTCTCAACAACGATCGAGCACCACTGACTGCTTCGTAATTTCGACACGTTCGCCGGGAGCAAATCACCGGTGACCACCGTTGATGGCCACCTTGCTTGTTTGTTGCATAATATTGGCCGACGATTCTGCTACGCCAGATATACATACATACTTGCTTTCCGTGGAAATGTTCGCTCGTGCCAAGATTATCTGCTGGCATCTCGAGCATGGAAAACATCTCTGCCAGACCGCTTCCTTATCGATCTTTTGCCGCGCTTTTATCGTTTTCGCTGAATCAATGCCATTCGATGGTTTACGTAGTTCCTCATTTCGAAAATAGTAAAACTGTCGTATTTAGTGTATGACGAGGACTTTATTGGTGACTTGGTCTATCTCTTTGGTTTTAATTTTCATCTGTAAGTGGAGGGGGTTCTAGTAAAGTGACACTGGCGTGCTAATGATGAGAAAACAAACAGTTTCAGATTTTACTTACTTCTTTACACGTAGATCTTTTGTATATTTTGCATGTTTCGAAAATTTCATGTATTTTCTTTTTTTATCTGAATATCTGATATTTACACAACTTATCGATGAAGCAATTGAACTTGAAACCGAAAATTTTAACGAAGCGAAGTCTTATAAGTGAACGTGACGATCGGCACGTAAAGACTTTTTACGCCATCAAAACAATAAAGTAGTTACGTATGATAAATATGAGTAATAAATTCTGTTAATGCAGTTTTATCAGTTATGTAATTTAACAGACATAATTCCGATCGAAAAATTTTTCGATGTCGTTCGTGGAAATCATTAAGTTTACTTACATTGAAAAAATTATAAAGATTATGTAAAGCTATTATGATAAGCTATTTCCAAAATTTTAAAAAATTTTAATGCGTATATATATATTTCTTTATTCTTCTTTATTTTTTAAATAGCTTTCCTTGATTGTTAGGAAAGTATAATAAGATTCTTTACTGTGAAATCTGTCCGCGGCAACCCGGTGAACTCATTCAGATCAATTGACGAGGCCGAGTTGATATGCTGCCAATGAAATTAGCCAGGAGGACAATTAAGCGCATCGTTGAACAAATCCTAGACAAACTTGTCGCCGTTGATGGACACAAACTGTTGCCTATGACTAAAGGAAATTCTACTTGGCTCCACATCTTTCATCGGCTTTCTTCTACATTAAGCAATATGTCAATAACATAATGATTTCAATTCTATTGTTACAATACAATTATTGGAGAATTATTGAACGTATTTTCATTGAATTTTTATGAGAATAGAAGTCTATATTAAAGAAGGAATATGAATCATTAAAGTCAAAATTACTGAAATTCATTCCATGTTTCAGCTCAAGTCTACCACAACATGAATAGAAGACCGATGTTGAGAAGGAAGGTACAATCTTGTGCTCCAATTAACTACAGATTGTCATCTACACCCTGTTGTTCAACACTGCAATAATATTATCATCAAAGACTCAATTGAATCGTTTAAAGGAACACCTTACCAATAATACCCTGATGAAAAATTGCAAGTAATCAGCTGCATACGATTCATTATTTTAAGAAGCTGCTATCTCTTATGCAAACTGCAATTATCTAGCGGTTCAGCAAGGCTTAAATTTAGCGAGGAATTTCGCTAAGTCGACGGGACGTAAAGGCTGGAGGGCCCTGCCGGTGCTGGGACCGAAATACACGACGATTATACCGGCGACTCCTCGAATTGTTTCTCTGCATGTGGCTTTTTTCCCCTCACCGTTACAGATACGCCTCTGCAAATGTAAATCTTCGTGGCCGTGGTACAGTCAGGCATACAATTCCATCGTAAAGATTCTCTGTAGTCTTAAGGACATCTTACGAAAGCAGTTTTCTGCTTGTGGTTTCCTCTGTGTATTATATTAAATTAACAGGATAATCACGTGTAACACGGATACATATATCATAGATAAATAATTGTAAATAATATAGGTAATTTCGATTAATTTTAATTAATATGAAGATTCTACTGATAGCATAAATAATATGAAAAGTAGAATAGTTACTGTTAAAGTGACTTTAGTTGAATTATTTTAATTTTTGTAATAGGGAGATTCTTTCTTGGATTATATACATATAATAAATGGAATTAATCAGTGAAAATATAAGTACATTAAGTCCACTGTTACTCAACTTAAATAATTTTGACATTATGTATGTCATAAGTAATTCACATATGTTTCTGTTTTGGACTTTAGAAACACAGGCGTTTGTCTAATTCTGACTGGCTCATTATATGTTTCCTGAGAATCTGTAAAATTTTAAGCACGGTGAGCAAACAATAGAGTGAAATCCAGTGGATCAATAATTATTTCAAAATCAATATATTATTACAATAAACCATAAATAACATGTAAATTCTTTATCTAAAAGTTGCAGGTAAGAATTATAAGCAAATGATGGATAACACTGACTAAGCTATTTACGTATGAATGGAACCATCCGCATATATAATCTTTAACATTTTATACATCTTTCAATTACGTTATCAAGATGTATAATGAGTGTTCAACTTCTCAAAAAACAAGTTGCTTTCATAAATTCATTTATGGCAAGATGATATAAATGATTATAAATTTCAAGGTAAATTTTGAAAAATAGCATTCTCAGCATCAAAGTTTCTCTGTATATTTTAATTTATAGAGTTGATTAGTATGAATTTTGAATTCCTATACTGAAGAATCGAGATTATCAAAAAGCCCCATAAACGATGTAAGAGAAGCGAAGGATGGAACGGACGGTCGTTGTATTTTAATAGTAAGCTGGCTGCAATAGTTTAAGGCTTAAGGCAAGTCATTTATGTCGCAAGGGATCTCGCGTCTTAAGACATCGCTCCCTCACTGTATAGTGACGCGAGTGGCCGTGAAATCGGCTACGTCGGCCATTCTAAAATCGTGCCAGAATTTCTTGCCAAATTTAATTGGAGCTCCGTCCTGTTTACCTGTGCGAACCCACGATCTTGAGCGTTTATCCATCTTTCCTTCTCTCTCTTTTTTTTCTTTTCATGCCTTTGCTGGCAAATTTTCGATACGAGACAATCAGACGAAACAATGACTCCTTGACAACATGCCAAGGAACCTGATATTGCAGGGCTTAGCTCAGTTATTTAGTTATTTCTGCGATTAACATTTTCTTGCACAATTGCAACGTTCTCGAGAATCATAAAATTAATCGTTTTATTGTTTTGTTTGAAGATCGACAAGACATGACGAATGGCTGGAGAGGAACAACGGAATATTTTGATTTGGGGCCATTTTATATCTATTTTTTCAGATTGTTAACGATATAGATTGTAAGGACGTGCGTATCTTTGTCGGTCCCGGATCGATGCTTGTTAATTTTCACAGATGTAGCCCACACCTGTGAATTTTGGTCGCTTATCGCTCCATTTCTTATCGTTTGATAAGCTTCAAATTTAGGCAAATGTTTCCTGTGTCGTGATAAATCTTCAAGTATTTTCTGTTTTTCTTTTCATCGCGTTATTTTAGGACTGTTGAAACAATTTGTCAAAGTATGGAACAAGGTGTTTATAGATGAAGATATTATAATGACAGAAACGCAATTTCTGAGAATGAAAATAATTTTATATGAACAAATTATCCACTTGTCAAATTATTTTTTTAGAAGTATTGGTAATACCACTTTTCTCATTTTATTATAAAACTCGATAACTACTTTTAATTGTTTTATGGAAAGAAGTAGGCACTCCTAGCTTTATTTTCAATTTCGTCTTATGAGAGATTAAACAGAGAGAAATGAGAAAATCAACACTCATTGATATTTTTATTAAAACACACCTAATTCTAAATTCTTTTGTAATAAAGTGAGTCTCCTTGGTTTTTGTTTCTCACGTTAAATTCTAATAACAGTTTAAAAATGAAAAAGCCTTTGTAAAACGAAGAATATGGAAGCTATACTATTTTTGTGCTGGTTAGAGAGCTTATAACAAGTTGAAGCGACTTCGAAAAATCGTTAAATCGTACACGTGCACCTACTTGTATTACGTCAGTAGTTCACGTAATAACTGCTAAACGATAATGATTTGTTAGTTTACAGGCTGATTGCAGCTTCTGTTACCAGGCGAATTACTGGCAAAATGATGATTTAATAACATCCAAATGTAGATTGAATTTTTTTCAAATAAACATTTCATATAAAATAATCTAAAATGCTTAAAATCCGAACCCACTTTTTTGTTTATAGATATATTGCAATTATGATATTTAACAAACAGTTCATCATCGTTTAAAATGCTATTCTTATTTTATATAAAATATATGCTAAAGAAAACTTTGTAAAGTCTCTAAAAAGTATATCACCATATGTAATAGCGTTTATCACTAATACGCAAGATAGGAGATTCAGACTATATCTGTAAATCAAAAAGATACAAGATAAGTGGCATTAAAAATCCGGAAGCTTATTTTTCAAAGCTTTCGAACGCTTCGAAGGTTTACGTTACGCAATCGTACATCGCTCAAAATAATCAGAAACTACGGCTTAAAATTTTATTACACGTTAAAACATTCCTGATACTTGAGAGAATCTTATATGTATTATCACTCCAAACAGCTGTAGACCACATTATTCGCCCGTAAAACAAATTAATTTTGTAAAATTAACAACTTGTATCTTTTATGGTATTTTTTATGAATACTTATTAAATTAAAACTTTCAATTTAACCGAGATTCCACCCAGTTACAATAGCTTTATACTCTATTAAAAATTTCTTTTAACTTTTACAGAACTAAAACAAAATTAATCTTCTCAAACATGTTAACAAACATTTTGACTGGGGATACTTCTCTTATTCTGTTAAAGTATTTGTTTTACTATTGCAAAAAAGTCTTGTAAATACTCATATCATATTCATAAAAAATATTTTGTTTAAACTCAACTAAACTAAATTATATTCATAAACACAATTAATTTATCTGAACTCAATTATTTCCTCAAACATAGCGAATGACTACATTTGTAAAAATTTTAAATAACATGTATAACAATACTTATTCAAAGAAAGTGAATGTTCCTATATTACATACAAAAAATTGTTTTATGTTATATTTAAATTAAATCTATACGAAGCCAAAATTCTCGTAATATTGCTCAGTTTGTATCTCTCGTATTTATGATTCGCATAATAAATGCAGATTTTATCGTGGCCTTGCACGTTGCTCTTTCGGTGAAACGTGCCAAATAATGTCGTCATGTGCGACCAGGGTTTTGCGGAATCTCTGGTGTTTATAAACGTTTAATTATCCGTGGCCAAGACTTTTCGGTGAGCAGCGGGCTTGCCTATTACGATACACGTCGTTTGAAGTGCCGGGAAAGCTATGCGATCTATTTTCGAGCTTGAGGATTCGCTGTTGTCGGGCGGACACGCTCCGTCACTCGATCTTCCTCTTTCGATTCGAAGAAAGCTCGTCTTTCGCCGACTGCCTTCCTTTGCCACCCGCGAAAATCCTCTGGTCTATCTTTAGCAGTGTCTTCAAGGTTCTGAGAGAAGAGTGATAAAAAGATAAATTAATTCTTTGCATGTAGTGGCTAAAATTAATAATTGAAGTGATTAAAGATAATTTTAATAATAAATCAGATAAAGATCGATGATTTGAAGAAAGAATAATTGTGATTTGGATTTCTAACAGGAAAACTTATTCCAAATATCTTTATTACACTGTAGCCTGTCTTTGTAATCTATCAGAATTTGTTATATTCGACGGAATTGTGTCTCTGATTTTTTTAAGTAAAGATATTTATATTATCCTTATTAGAAATGGTTCTTACTTGTATGTGTTTGTACAACATAATTAAAATGACTATATATATGTATCTTAATTTTCTTCCTATTTTGTATAACAGTAATATTCCAATATTTTTTAGCTTCTTCAAAATATGATTTTGTGCGTGGTTTACTTCATCTCGTTTTAAATAATTCATTATTTTTCATTCCTTCTATTTCCTACAAGCACGAGGTAAAGGTAACATTTCTTTCTGAAAAGAGGTTAGTTTCTATCGTTTATAAAAAGTCTATCGTATTATCAAATATTCAGGCTATGAAATATTTTTGTAATTATGCTTTTACATTTGCATTCATGTTTTCTTTGACTTGAAGTAGAAAATATTTTTCCTCTAGAGATGAGAGTTAAAGAAGATAATTTTGTAGTGGCCTGTAGGTCGAGTCAGACTTTCATCAGTAAAGGATGCACCGTGCTCCTTTTATTCTGTTATGCCACATTCACTAGCTGCATTCTATTTCTCCCTCTTCAGCTAATTTCACGAGAGCTCGGTGGACTGACCTCACAAATGTTTGTCGACGATTGGCTGTGGTATTTTAAGCGATAGCTATGTTTCTGCTACATTATACTTTATATATACTTTAAAATTTATGACACTTTATGAATTGTATGCCAATTTATTATATAGCGTTTTATACAATTAAAACTTTGTGTTGAATGAAATTACAGGTAATAAATTGTATAGATTGCTACTATTATACACTTAAAATTTCATTTTTCGAGTAAACAATTACATTTTGTTCATCCTCAATTATTATTTTTATACTGATTAATCAAGCATTATAATGTGGTATAAGGTATGGTATATAATCTTATGTAGGTTTTGTTTCATAAGTTGTAGCAAAATTTCAACAATTATTTCGAACTGTGATTGAATGAGAGCTTCGATTGTAATTATATGTATTGCTTCCAATATTTCATTCAAGCAAAGAATTATTTGAGACTGTAATGCAATTGAATGCAATTTTGAAAATGAGTTCCATACGACTTTTATGCACCTTGAGAGTCTACGATTACGATACTTTCGAAAGAATCGGTAGATGTCTCCACCGAACATTTTATTTCATTAAGAGGGTAATATAGATTTCTTCACACACTAAATTCGAACTGATCATGATCTCGCAATAAAATTAAAAAATATGCCTTTAAAATAATTTAAATCGATAGATAATAAGATTAAATTCGTAGATTAAATTCGTAGATTCATAGATTAAATTCATGGATTAGTATCTAATTTACTGAACTATAAATACATAAAGATTTATTTATTTAATCAAAGATGCTTCGAAGAGTTTAGCGAAGACGAAGATTCCAGTGAAGATGTTGGTTCGTATTGAAAATACAATGAATTTATATTTATATATTATTAAGCTATACTTATTTTAATGTTGTTATTTTTCTTTGTAATTACTATGTATTTTAACATTAATGTACATCCTGGATAGTTTCACTAGAATTTTCAACAAACCTTACACAATAAAAATCCCTTTCAGTACCATTCATATTTTGTACCATTATAAAAGGGCTATTAATTTCATGGTGTTGTCATTGTGAAAAAATCTGAAGAGAGAATCCCGGAGCGGACGATTCCACGAATATCATTCCCTCACCAAAATCGAATTGACAATTAAGTATTTAGGGTGGCTGCGGGTCGCGTGTCAGGAAGAGTCATCTTCGCCAGCATGAACATACGTAAAAACATATGGTTCCTCGATGGGGTTCAGAGTGCAGAGTCCCTAAAGACACTCGACGAAACAATTTTCTACGGAGTCCTGGACTGTCGCTGCTTTCAATAGAGCATATCGCATTACATTTAACAAATATAAACATTTATAATTTCTTACAGTTTTCGATAACAAGAAATTAAAAGAAACGCACGAGGATCTTAATTATAATAAAATTATAATACAAAGAAGTTCAAGTAATTCCATTCATTTTCTATTAGAAAATTGGTAGAATTGGTTGGTTACATACCAAAATATTTACCCTGTTACGTTTTGTTTGGTTATGTTGCCATTAATTTTTGAATTTAGATTAAATGGTAGCGTTGTCTGATGTTTAATGCGATTGGCAATTAAACTCCACGTTTCGACTAACCTGCTACGCGCAGGAATACTGGCACGGGAGAGGATTAAGGTTGGTGAAAATAAATGTTCGTTCGATTCTATTATATTATTAGACAAATATTCTCCATAATAAATGTTTATTCTAATTCTAATTGGGTATTGGCAGAATTGTCTCATTGACAGAATTGTCGTTGAGATTTCGAATACTCGAAGTTACAATCGTTCGCCATACGTTTTCACTCTTATTAATTACAAGATTTTAATTTGATTGATTTTCAATAATTTACAAATTGACAAATACAAACACGTCGATTAACAAAACTGACGAGAACTGGGAACTAATGAAACAAAGAATTAAAAGCTAAAGAACTAAAAGACTAAAGAACTTAAGAACTGAGAGAAAAAACTAAGAGCTAAAGGAACTAAGAGCTGAAAAACTAAGGAACTAAAGAATTGAAAGGCAAAGGAACTGAGAAATTAAGAGCCAAAGGAATTGAGTACTAATCGCTATGAACAAAGAAATTACTTGCCAAGAATTGGGGAACTGATCGCCAAAAACCAAGGAATTAATCACCAAGAACTGTGCAATTAATCACATAGAACTGAGCAATTAACTACTCTGAACTGGTCTAGCTTGGTTCTAGAAACCTCTTCTACTTAAAGTAACAGGTACAACAAGATCGTTACACTTATCCAGAATTCTTACATTAAATAAACTCTTTCTCGTGATTGTGCGATGCTTAATACACGCGACAAATAAAATTAATCAACAAACGATATCAATATAATAATTGCCACTTTTCCTGTTAAATTCTTCCAAATACACGAATTGGACCATCACGAAATAAGTTCTCGACTCTGAGTACTACGCTTCTATTCGAACGAAGATGTCGATTTGGAGAACGATCTCGGAGGAAGATTAATCTTGACAGCGGCACTTTTATGCGACATTTCTGGATATGGGCGCAGTTCTCCACCGGTTTCCTGAACACCCAAAATTTCGTGTAATCAGATCTAAAGACGTCCTCGTAAATTCCCACCCGCAGTCCTGCTGTTATATTATTGTACATAGATGATCTTATGCGGGATGATCTAAACCTCGTAGTATGTATCAGAGTCCGAATTTCTCGTTCTCACGAAATATGGGGGCATAGGTCCTCGACTAATTGCTCGTCAATGCGCACTGTACCTTTTCACAACGAACGTGTTCGCCCTCGTTTTGCGTGAGAATCTTTAACCACGTACTTTAATATTTCATCTGTTCTTTTATCCATGCAGAGCTGCTCCGTAGACCTTGGTATTAGCGACGTTGGCTCATATTGACAATACAATGAATTTGCACCTTATTGTTCGGTCGAACCTATTTTAAATTTGTTATCTCAGTATCTATTAATCGTCTATTAATCCGTTTAATAATGTCTATATAATAATTGATTATTAATTAATTATAATGATTTAGTAATCTCTATTAATCCATCTTCTAGATAGCGTGAAGAGTTTAATATATTGAATTAGTATGTTACTGTATGAGTGGTGCATTTTTGAGAAATTTGAATAATAAGATAACATTCTTTCGGATAGAAGCATACGCGACCAAATTTTTGCATAGCAATATCTATCTATATACGATAAGAGGAACGTTAGAAAATAATTTGATTCTCACCAAATTTCGCAGACGATCTTTGACTGATTTTATAAAGAGATATAGGAAGAGCTATGATATAATTGTATATACTATAAATCATTTATGTGCAAGTATATCACGGTGAATTAGAAAATGTATGAAATTAAGAAAGAATAAGGTCGCCCAGCGTAAATTTGAAGGGTATGATTCGTATCAGAGAATTTTAAATTGAAGTACGTAACTCTATAGACTGGTTTCAATATGTAAATCAAAGTATCATTACGAGAAACACCCTGCACGTGAATACAGAACGGGACAGCGACGGATGTGACTACGTCGGGTTAATAAGGATGCGACGTCATCAGGCTGCGACGTTACATTTTCTCCTTTGAATCACGATCTCCAAATCTAAAAGTGCAATTAAATACCAGCTTAATTATCATTACAATCAAACGAGACAATTTATGAAAAATTCCAACTACGAAATTCTAACAAATAAGATTATCAACAATTTAATTTAATACATTCTATAACATTCCGCGATATACATTCTATAGCGTATATTACATAGCATATATCGTACGCCCCCTCAACCTTCGCGTTTCATAATTAATAATCTAATCAATCTCATTCTACAGTGTACATTTCACTCCCCTTAACTCTCAAATTCGACCCTTGTAAATATCTTCAATCCTTTCATCAATAATCTAATTTAGCTCGTTCTACACCCTTCAATTCTCAAATCCTACTCTCTTCAATTCCACCACATCCTAATTCAGCTGTATTTTACATTCTTCATTCGCGCGTTACTCTACTTCATTAACTCTACATCTCTGACTGATCTACATTTCATTGCTCGGCCACGTGATTACCACTGTACTTCTCGAGGAAACAAATTACATCTGCCTCCAGTGTGAGCTTATCCCGGTATTGCGAGAAGATGAGATAAATAAGCGAAAAATTCGGAAGAGATTTCATAAAAATTGCAACATCCAACGCACGTCTTTTCTTCCTTTTAATTTACAAAGTTAACGGGTATAACTTCTGGACAATGTAGTTATTGAAAGCCTTAATTTACATCTACTCAACAGGTAGCCTCCTACGAGCGATATACACCTGTTGCATGCACTCAAGCCACGTGGTCGCATCCAGCATATTTCAAACGAGGAATTCATCTTCTGTATGAATCGAATCTCAGGTAGAATCGCAGCAACCATTGAATAGACAGTGCGCGTATATCGAAAATATCCAAGCTCTTTGTGTCCGATCGAGGATGGGGATCGACCAGCAGTATTTCTCCTCAAAATACGTATAGCACATATAAAAAAAAGTCTTCGTCGTTGGCCATCTCTCTACGCTTTGACCCGTGAAATATACCAGCATGATATAAAGTGACTAATATCAATGACTGTTGCTTGTTCGCCAACGTTCCATGGGGGTGAAAAAAAAGGGAAAAAAGCGAGAAAAGAACGTTTATTGTGATCTCGATCGGGAATCTCGCGACGCTCATGTGGGCACGTTAATTCTTGGGTCACGGCTGTCATAATTGCCTCCTCTGATGGCCATTATCCTGGTACCGGTGACGTTGTAATTTGTTTTACTCGGGGGAAGCTCAGAGAACATAAAGAGGGTGGAATTTTTCTGACCGATATAAGGGCTGCTTTTTTTCATTTTTCGTTCATTTTTGTAGAAGCGATGAAATGGTTTGTCAAGTAGTGAATTTTTTATCATTTTTATGATGAAGATACCTATTGTTTTGTATGTTTGATTTGTCGTTTGATAATATAGTAGATATTATAGCCATACATAGCATAATCGCGTTAATATTGCAGCCAAGAATTATCTACTATAATTATGAAGTTTAAACGCTTCGACATAAGAATCGCGTTAAACGGCATCAAACATATTTTATCTTTGATATTCGATTTTATCTGAGATCATACCTATTGCTTTGTATGTTTGATTTGTTGTTTGATAATATAGTAGATATTATAGCTATACATAGCACAACCGCGTTAATATTGCAGTCAAGAATTATCTACTATAATTATGAAGTTTAAACGCTTCGACATAAGAATCGCGTTAAACGGCATCAAACCTATTTTATCTTTGATATTCGATTTTATCTGAGATCATTTAGTGAGAAATTAAACAACTAATTCTACGAGATTACAATTTAACGGCTCTAGAGAAACATGGTAAATCCAGATAAAATAACGTTTTACCTAAAATAGTTAGAAAACTACGTCCCAAAAAAACTGCATGCCCAAATATTATCCCCATATAAAACCAGTGTTTTAAACAATCTATGTACGAAATCAGTCTTGTACAACGTTCCTCGATTATATCGAACTTATGTTTGGACTGTACTTTGAAGGAAGTCCTGTGAATACGGCGATATCGGCGCGAAAAGAGAAACGCGAGCATGGCTGGCGAACAGAGAGCGAAGGTTCCCCGTCGCCTTCGCGCAATTACGTCCAATTGAACTAATTCAGCTCAATTGACGTTAACAGGCTCAATTGGTCGGCCCTGCCAGCCTGGCCACACGGCAATACTATCCGGTCGGCATACCTACGACGTAAAAAAGAGCGGCTCGCGTGCAAAAAGTCGCTTCCAAACCCTCCTCTTCACCTCGTTTCCCTGTGTCGTTCGATCTAAATATACTTCTCAACAAGAGAGACTGTTTCCCTTTGTCTGCTTGTTATCAGCTCGTTGCGTTCTCCATATATGTAAAAGCTTGTGTACATTATATATGTATATACGTGGATTATACTAGTCTGTTCTGATCTAAAAAATAAATATGAAAATAAAATATCGCATATGGTAAAATATATAATATAAGAATAAAATATAGTGTAGGAACAAAGTTAGGAAAACGTGAATATTGGAAAGTAGAGAGAGGTTTCTAACTTGAGATAAACATTCTAAGATTCTAATTTTGATAAAATTTCGATTATAGTATAAGGGAAGATATTTTGGAAAAATTGCTCTACTACGTTCGTTAATTAATATCGAAAAATAATAGTATTGTGTATTTGAATTGTGAATTAACTTTAGGATTATAGATCAATTTTGTAAAAATTGTAAGACTACAGAGGGTTGTTGGGAAATTACTTTCTGGGTGTATGAGAGATGTAAACAGAAGTCTTAGGGGGTTGAAGAGCGAGGTACCTAAGTACAGTAAGTCAGAGTCAAATCGTCATCCACCGTTGAAGGAGGGTATTATCGGAAGGGGAAGAGGTGGAGCCGAGAAACTCCTTCTATTCTGCTGGTAGAAGTGGTGGGGACGGAACGTATCGTGTCCATTTCGTTCTTATCTTTCCTCCAGGTCTATTCCCCTCTCTTGTCGCTTCGAAGTGGTTGGTGGGAGATAATTAGTCTATCTTCTCTTTCTTTAACCGCTGATATCCCCCACTTCGATATCAAGTCTTTCTCAGTTTGTTCAATGTTACATTTAATACATTACAATACATTACAATATAACATTTTTTAACGAAAATTTAGTGGTATATTAAAAATATCCAAATTTAATATTGTAAGAAATAATAATAGTAGAAGTTTGGTAGAAGATTTTTAACTAACTTGTGAATATTAAATACAATTTACATATAGAAAGTCTTTTATTATATAAAAATTATAATATCTTCATATAAAATCTTGATAAAATTAGCACTTAAGGAATTTATACATGTAAAATATTGTTAGTGAATGATATACAAGAAATCTCAACAAGATAAAAGAATCATAACTTCATGGCTTAGATTAAATCATATCACTTGAATTCAAGATACAAGTATGCTTTATCATAAAAAGATAGTTCAATATGTAACTTACAACGAACCATATCAGTTTCAAATTAAGATATGTACTTATTTTTATCATACACAACGTCCAACAAAGAATTCTTCAACAATCACTACACACTTATAAGAACATTTTACTCACACGAACAACGCGATTCTTCGATCTTCGTTTCAAATTTGGCGCGCTCCGAACTGTCACTTTCACCGGGCGCACGTGTTTCCTGTTGCACAGTCAGGGTAGCGTTACGGCTCGGCCAGGATCGGGCAACATCGTCCGTCAGACCTCGTGTACATCGAGAATCGTCTGTTTCTTCCGAGAGACTTCACCTTCCACAAAGTTTCACAAAACTAACCTAAAAAATGATTTCGTAAACAACGACAAACGTAGCAATTATGCAGAATGAACGCGTTTCTATGATTTAGATACGGATAGATGACACAGGACACGAAATTCTTGATAGTGTGAACGAGAAAAAGGGGTCGAAAAGAAAGTCGTGCAGAGGGTCAGTGCAGGAGGCGACCCGTTACTGCAGCCCGGCACCACCGGACCTTCACTTATATCGTCTCTCGGCTAATAACGCTAGTAATGTGATATGATTAGCTTAGTTGAGTTCAGTTTAGTTCGTATTCGTTCAATTTAGTGGTTCGCCAGCAAAATCACATCGAGTTAAACCCATTTAGGCCAGTTAAGTTACCGACTTCTCGCTCTTGCGCGCTTGCCGTCATCCTCCCGGTCAGCCGCCTCCTGCATCCGCGGATATCCTGCAAGCATGAGTGCGCGCACGCTCGATCACCCGCATTCAATCACCTTCAACTTCATTGAAGTTTGATCCAGTCGGCTCAGTCTGGATATAGAGGAAATTGAAGATTCTTGAAACTTCTGCTACTTGGTTCATGAATTCTGTTTGAAGGTAGTTTAAGGTTAGATGAATCTTAGAAAGTCTGTGACAGAGAATGTTGGTTAGTGGCAGAGATTTTGTGTGAGATGGTATGAGTATGAAGATTTAGGGATGTATATTATTAAGTGATAATTATTTTGCTAAGGATTGTACTCTAGAATGATAAGATTGATCGGTTGAAGTAACATTTAAGAAACATGGTAATGTACAAATATAATGTAACAGATATTTATCGTAGTATATCAAGAAGTGTTACCAGTGTACATTTATTTGTTAGAATAAAAAGAAACTGTCAGGATATAACCTGGTAGGTAGGTAAGTAAGTAGGTAGGTAGGAAATTATTACCATGTAGTGTGACCACGAAATAATAGATTACTAATATGCTGTTATATTTTATTAATGTATCATTAACAATTTTTTTATATGGAAAAGTTTCATATTATGTTAGAAAACTCTGATCAATTATAATTATCTTTTCCCATGATCAAACGAAATTTAGGTTATAGATTACTAAACAATCATACAATAATCTGACTAAATAGTGGAATCTATTTATGAAAACTTTACTCAACAAACTCAGACAAAACGAGATCTATATTGATTTCTATATCCATCCACATCGCGCAAAACCATCCCTAACCTCCAAAATCGCTCTAAAATCGTCTTTACTTATTTAATTAAATTTCCTCCAGTTCTTCTGTCCAATCTTGTCGTTTCGAAACAACATCCAGTCACAAAGATAGTCACGAGATCCATCGATTTGGAGTAAACAAACTCATTGACGAAAACGAGGAGACCAGGCGGCTGAAACGATGGCGCGATCGGTTTCGCGCGGCGCAACGGAAAAGATGCACCGTAAGGATGGTAGGGGAGGAAGTAAAGAGTGTCCGCGAGAGTGCAATTAAATCAGCGCGTGACAGGCGCGCGCTCGCGCGCGCTAATT